TGAATTAACTAAATATTGTTAGGTATACTAAAAACTTGAAGAATAAAATAAGAACCATTATTTCCTAAAAACAATTAATATGGACCAAAAATTGTGCAGCAACCCAAATACAGTAAGAAAAATAAAAATAATTATTTTTCCATTCATCTTACCCGTCATATTTCGCACACAAAACACTGAGAACGTATTATCGTGAGTTAGCGCGGATTGCGGTGGGTGAGCGCGCGTCGTGCGCGTATTTCGGCGCGCGACTGGTGCGGAGATGCTGCGAGCGCGTGCGCGTGCGACCCGGCGCAAGGTCACGGAGCCGCATCACTAGGCTTTAGCGCCACAGCCACAGACCGGTTAGGGTACAAACTCAGGCTGTTTGGTCGTGTGAAGATAAGTGGCAATCCCCAAGGCTTGGTTTACGCATGGTACTTACTGGAACAAATAATGAGTAAGGTGTAGACTCTACCAACTATGTCAGATCGCCATGGCAGGACCGGTTACTTTGGTAGTCACAAAGTCAGGTTGTTTGGTCTTGTTACTCTTGTATACCTAACTACCAATTCCCCAAGGTTTGGCCTACGCATGTTAAAACTTGGGAGGAAATATGGTGTCTCTACGGTAGAGAGACAGAGCCTGTACCCAACATACGAGTACATGTATTGTGATAGATCGCAATGGCAAATCAAGTCTTTGATTGTACATAATAATATGGCCGGGATGGAGCTGGTTTCAAGTAAACATAAGAGAAAAAATTATACGGGTAACTAAGAATTATTTGTGTCCTTGAAGATACAATGTAGAGTTCGACGAAGTCATTCGTAGTCGTTACTGTATATCGTTATTATGAAGTTATTTCTGTTTACTAACTTAAAAATTACCTACTTTCATTACCACCATAAAGTAGACCACACGCTATAAACTCCAAAATAAATCTGTCGCACCGTTTAATCACCATCGCGACCACAATTTACGCGTCGATTTTACACATCATAAGTGACTTACTTTGAATATCACATTAAGGCTATGGTGTGGGTTCTCCCTCACAAGGTTTTGGAGCAACCGAATGCATTAGCGAAATTCAAAGGCTTCACTATTGTGATGTCACATAATATCATGGTCAACTACAGCTGGTATGTCAGGTAAGACTTATTTTTTCAATTTGGCAAAGATTATTCTTATCCACTCCATAAAATAACTCAGTTTAAAATTAAAAAAAAAATGTGGATTTGCTTCTCTAACAGTTACCACTAACACGCCGACGTCGTCGTTGTTACCCACGTTTGTAGGGTTCCTTATTTTTGATACATATAATAGAGCTGAATCTAGAGTGGTTTTACGATCAGTGAAGCTTTTGACATCTTATTTATTTAACAGATTTTAACCTAAATAAGTATGAAGATTTAGTTCCATATTGGGAAAAAGTAAAAAAATATATTAATGAAGCATTGAGAATACGGTCACGAAAATGACCTAGGTCTATCAACGTTGACCCCATGGACCATTGGCAACGGAAAATGCACGCCTGAATAACTAATGCTCCATTAAAGGATTCAATGAAGAGGAAAATTTGACCTGCATCAGTTTTTATTTAAGATGAGGTCATACGCAGGGATGTGAATGAGGATGTTGAACTCAAAAAGAACGGAGGTTGCTATTTATAAAGCATTTAAAATTAATATCAAAAAAAATTATATGTATAAATAAATATATTATTTTTAAATTAAGCTCGTATTACCGTACCCATTCAAGAAGATTTTTGCTTTAATATAAGTAAATAGCATATTTTTTCTGCTAAATTCTATAAATTAAGAATTAAGGGTCAGGGTTTATTCATTCCTGTGTTACATACCTTCTAACCGGTAAAAAAGTATTATATTTTTAAAGAAAAACAAAGGAAAAACTAGTTGGATTAGGCTTTTTCAGATTGAACCACTTGCTGTTGTTTCACAGTTTTAACTGAGCGCCTTGACGTGCACAATTCGATTCAAGTCCGAAATAAGATTTATTGCTTTTCACTTTTTAAAAGGATAGTTTAGTAAATTAGTCAGTGTATTAGATAAGATAATTTAAATTAGGTTGTACTACTAACTTTTTTAATCCTAGTACCTCCCTTGTTTTTAAATAGGTACCTACTCTACTAGGTACTGCCTGTGGTAAATTATTATTATAGAGAACGAAGGGACGTGCTTCTGTTGTTCTGTAGTAGTGGTGACTAAATAAATTACTTGATGAGAATACGAGTATCTTTTGAAAAAGAAGTAAGTAGGTTTTATTATTAAGTAAAAAAAAACTAATGTGAGTTTTTTTATTTCACACCGATATCACAACTTAAATAATATACCTAAGGTAAAGAATATACACAGTCAATACTGGAACTCGTGATTTCCGAAACAAAGTTAGAGATATTATAGTATTGTCACAATCGTGCTTACAAAATGTAAATAGTACCTAAATAATATCATGCTAATATTGCTTAAGCAATCTCACAAACTAAATTACATTACAATTCAATCACAATTTCTCTACATTGATTATAATATGTATTAGGTGATCGAATTTGATAGAAAATGAATTTAGTAAAGTTTACACATAATAAATCCAAATACAGTATACAAATCGCCTTATCTTTTAAATATCACATTACATTTTATTGACAATGAAAACTAGTAAGCTAGGTATATTCAAGACGTGTTTGCAATTTACATAAATCGTAGTTACAGACAGATCTTTAAAACGATGAAATACCTTCCGGTAAAAAAATACTGTAGGTAAATTTCAGCAAGTAATATATGCATGCCTGAAAAAGTATAATTTTGGGCTGAGCCCAATAAATACCTAGTCCACATCTATTTATGTAAGGCAGGACAAAAAATACTTGACGCCTGCAATAGGTAAAATTAATCTAATATTATTATTACCACTCATTAATGTATTCATACATTTACAAAATAAAACTAATCGGATAATTCTTCATTCATTAACAAGACCCAAATATTTATCATACTAAATTAGACCTAATACATTCACAGCTGAAAATTTATAATATTTTAATTGATACATGCGAGAATAGTTCATATAAATGACATACACATAATCTTAATTAATTTAAAATGGTACAACCAATTTTATTATTATTGCCTAAATAGTATTTTAACCACATTAATTCTTAGTACAAGTGATTCAGAATAAAACTAATAATGATTCACATAAATATAAATGCATGCTCAGATAACATAATCTTAAAAAATAATATTGAAGCATATTTTTATTATTATGTCCGTAAAATATAAAGGCACCTCTTGTTGACTCCACTGTTACTACGGAGACTGGCAAGTATTTACAGTGGCGCCAACTAGTGACAGGTGGCGCAAATATACTAGTCCTGAAATCAACCGACCATACAGTATTATTTCTATATGGCTTCAACGCAACTTTCAAAATGAGGAATGTTTTTGCATTACGAAAGTTTCACTCAGTTATCCCGGTATCTGATGTAGTTTGTTAAGACGAATGACCAATAAGCATATGTTAGTGTAATAATATTTGCTTAACCATATAGGTACGTATAGTTCAGAAAAATACAGACAGAAGAATTACGAACTTCAGAAACCGGGTATCAATGATTTTATTGATATAGAGACTTAGAGCCTGCGACATTTTAAACCTACTTACAAATAAAAGTAAAACATATCTAGTTAATTATACAGTGTGAGTCACGTTAAAGTGTACATATGAAAATAGATGAAACTAGACCTATTTTTATCGACAAAAAAGAGGTCAAAAATTTTTTGAGATTTTTTTTTAATTTTTTATAGAATTTTATTTCTTTCAATTACTTATTGTAAAGAAAACGTAATAACTTTTAAACTAAGCGGTATATCCTGATAAAATAAAAACAGCAATAATGCTAAATAACAGGCGATACTAAAAAATACATAAAATACACAAAAATGGCCAACAAATAATAAAAAATGATACTTTTTGAAAAAAATCTGCTTTTAAATTCGTGTTTTTTTGGTTATTTTTTAAATTTCTCCAAAAAATGCCCCTATAACCGGTGGTTTTTATTACTTTGTATTATTCGCTATCGTATTACTTTCGTAAAACCAAAAATCGCATGTCTCTATCCCTATCACAAGTTTGCAATGATCGTTTGAACTAAGCCTCTCCGGGCGCGCCATTCAACGCTTTGTTAACAACAAAACTGAAAATGGCTCTAGATTTTTAATTTTGATAAAAACAAAAGATTTCGAAGAAAAATAAGCATTTTAGTGAAAATTAAAATTGTCTCTACCTGTAGCGGAGAATAATGTTGTGGCAGGCCTTTGTTCAAACGATCATAGCAAATGTTGTGATAGGGATAGAGACATGCGATTTTTGGTTTTACAAAGATAATATGATAAAAAATAATACAAAGTAATAAAAACCACCTGTTATAGGGGTATTTTTTGGAGAAATTTATCAAATAACCAAAAAAACACGAATTTAAAAGCAGATTTTTTTTTAAAAGTATATTTTTTTATTATTTGTTGGCATTTTTTGTGTATTTTATGTATTTTTTTAGTATCGCCTGTTATTTAGCATTATTACTGTTTTTATTTTATCAGGATATACCGCTTAGTTTAAAAGTTATTACGTTTCCTTTACAATAAGTAATTGGAAGAAAAAAAATTCTATAAAAAATTTAAAAAAAATCTCAAAAAATTTTTGACCTCTTTTTTGTCGATAAAAATATGTCTAGTTTCATCTACTTTCATATGTACACTTTAACGTGACTCACACTGTATATAGCCCTTGGCTCAAATATAAAGGACCCTTAGAAAGGCAAGTTAATAATAATCTAAACATAGCACAGCCTCTGAAAAGCTTTCGTGCAAATAATATAGGAATTTGCATACCTACTCCTCTTTATTAAATCTAATACTTATTGTATGTCCCTTTAACAGTTAATAATTTTTCTTCGTTCTCTCAAATCAAAACCATTGTCTCGATAACTGTTGTTAATTTCAATACCAATTTTACTTCATCCCTGTAGGTCAAATACTGTTTCATTCTTAAATGCTTAATAGTTAAATACCTACATATCTAAGGCCAGACTCATATAAGCTTTATTTTTTCGGAAAAAATATGAAAAACAAGATGTCTTCTTCAGGAATGATCTTCTGATCTAAGTATGTTTAGGTGCGTAATTTTTTTCTGACCACTAAAAAATCTTCAACTCGTCTATATACTTATTATTAGCGCTCATCAGCTGAATTAGAGCTTGTGCAGAACATAACGAAACTATAATTAGTGTATGCTTTCAAGGTAAATGCAGCGGCAGTAAAAAGTCTAGTAGTTGGGCTGACGGGAACACACGAATCTAAAATTACACGCAGCTAGACGCACGTAAACAATTCTTCCTGATCAACTATGCACATTGCAATTGCAAAGATTTCTATATCTTTACTAGACAGTCCTGAACTGATACTGAATGATTTTACTTACTAGGTTGTTGATAAGTATCAACAACTCATATCTTCAATTGCGACCGCGACCGAAAGCGCGCTTTGAAATAATTTTTATTCTGAATAGCACAACTAGTACCTAATCTTTTTATATTGAGGTTCTTAAAAACATTTAATTCTTGTTAGAAATCTAGTACGGTAGGAACTTGCACTCGCAAAATCTATTCTAGAACTTACACAATTGTGTATTTCATGCGCTCTGGAGATACTATGCTGTTGGACTATACACTCTACATAATCGGTATAACGACTATTATCGTATATTTTTGCTAGAGTGAGAAATAAAAATACCGATAACTTCTTCGGGAAGGCAGTAGGCACAGGAAACATTTCAGATTTTTCACCATAAAATACCGTATTTTTGCTAGCTAGGCACATACCTAACTGCCTACCATCCCGGTAGGTAAATGCAAAATTTTAAATCAATGTGTAAGTAGGATCTAAACGCTTTGGTGTTGAATGTAAAGGAAAAGCACGGACGGACTAAATGCATGCTTCTACTTCTTTGGGTTAAGACTTTCTTATGATATAAATATATTTTTACAATTATAAATAGGCCCAGTTTATATTTTAACTGGGAATTAATCACTCAAACGTCCAGGATTACAATAAATATTCAATTTTAAGATTACTTTGCTATTTCGACTTCATCGAATCAAAATCGATAGCAAATGTTACTATAGTTCTCACGTATAAGTACTTAGGTCACACAATAGTTAGACCATGTTGCTAAAGAGCGTGATACATAATGTACCTACGATTCGTGAAACCAGCCACATTAATTACGAACATTGTATTATGTACAAATATCTCAAAGTTAAAATAATCAACCTGTTATTCTTATGCATAAGACAAGAGAAGGCACACTACACCATTGCAGTAATTATTTATTTTATATTAATCTATTTGTATATTATTTTAAAAAGCGTTTTTAAGAGTCCGTTAGCTTTTGATCATCATCAAGAAATTATAAACTTGTAAAATCCGTGGAAACAATAAATTATTCAAAAACCGTCACCGTAGTAAAACAAATACTTAGCTGTGTTTTTTTTCTTTATTTATTACTATCTTGAGGTAGTTAACTAAAAATAAATAAATATTGATGAAATGGGGTACCTATTGTCTCACATTTTAATAAATCTAATAGGCCAAATATTATTCATCTTCGTTTCAGCCCAATGAGGTCCACTGCTGGACAAAGGCCTTCCCCAGAGATTTTCCATAACCACCAGTCCTGCGCTGCCCGCATCTAGGTCATCCCGCGACCTTCATCAGATGGTCGGTCAACTGAGTGGGTGTCTTACCTACAAAAAAGTTTTACTAATCTATTGATTGTACCTAAGTACAAAAATAGTTGGATTTAATGATAATTCACTGGAACGCGCTAAATGGCACATGTATTAATCTTACAGCTAACCTGGACGTTGGAGTGATAAAGTAGGACAATGACAAATTATAATAATTAACATAATGATGCCACCAATCTCTCTAGTCTTGATATTCCCTGCCTGAAACATTGGCATTATAAGGGGAAGTGTTACGATTATTTCTATTCTTATTAAAATAGCTGTATAGCTAGCAAGCTGCTAATTAAAGTGGCTTGTCTTCAAAATTGAGAGCTTCCCCTTTAGAGAGATTTCCTGTACTCTCAGTGCGTTGGTAGCGCAAGGCGGTCGGCGTTGCGCGAGGGTCGGAAGCGCGAGGCGATGCGCGCGCGCAACATCGCGAGGCAGGTCGCGAACGCGTGCGCGAACAGAAGAACCACCGCGCATAGTGCTACGAAGCCGAACGCTGAGCCTGAAAATAGATGGAAAAGGGTGAAAATGACACCTACCAATAACTTTCAGGGACGCGCGCGATAAAGTTTTTCTGTGACAGACAAAATTCCACGCGGGCGAAGCCGCGGGCGGAAAGCTAGTATTAATATAAAACTTTGTTTAGAAGTATGATGTTATTATATTCGCTCTACATGGGTCTTATCACGTTTTTCCATTTTACCGATGATCTGTTTCTTTCTATCTACACTATGCTAAAATCGATTAAAAATTTTAAATTTTGCAAACCACAAGTTAGGAGGTACTATTGACATATTTTATTGCATATTAATTTATGTCTATGCGAAAGCTGAAGCCTGAAGCTAATCATCAATACATACCAGTATCGATGCAGGCTGCACAAGAAGATAATGAATTTAACAAATAGTTTATTACAAGACGTTGAAGGGTGTTATATTATACCCTGGGTATAGCTAGGTACTTATTCATGGTTTGATTATCGAATTATCGCGAAAGAAGATGTTGACATTACAAAACACTCGTTTAATGTAGGTATTTCATGTAGATCACACATATTGAACTCACTTAACAACTTTTTTATCAGTTGATATTCATGAATGGACCACTTATTTAGTAACACCAGTCTATTATTAAACACATTGCTTTGTAAATAACCATGTAGTGACAACTCGAAGCGGTTCATGGCATATTAATATGGTTAGTACAGAATCTGTTGTGTTAGTGAAGAACCATATACCTACTACAGAGNCTACAGATACATTCATGTAGAGACGTTTGCTAATCTTGACATTTAAAACGGCTTGGTTACGACCTTAATGTAATGCGAACTAGAGTGTTAATTAACGGGCTACATTTAACACCAATTGTATAAACAATACCATTGACATTGTGCAAGGATAATGCAATAAACAGAAAACATCCAATATTCACAGTTAGGTACAGAAAAATATTAATTGACGTCAATTTTTGTGTTCGAGTCTCTCTTGCGTATACAATTAAATAAATATTGTGAGAAGTTAATTTCGTCACAGTACCTAATAGTCTCAACGAACATATTGTTTGGTCCCCTTTATTAGGAAAATATTTTTCAAAATCTAAGGTGCTCTACCTTAGAATAAGCGTGTCTGAGAAGTTCTATAAGTGAAATTATACTAACCAGGTTTATTCCAATCCAAGGCTGGGTATATGGCTGGCATTCCGAATCGGTCAGTACCGCCGCACGACCAATAGATGGCGCTGAAGACTCCGTAAGCGACGCCTGCGCCGACACCGTACAGCGCATGCGCGGCGCGGATCGGATGCGCAGTGACCAGTATCTCGCAGATCATCGCGAGTGAGTTCCCTCCATGGACGAGGAGGTTTAATGCGTTTATGTCATGGATTTCTGGGAAAGGAAATCGATAAGTTTATATTGTGTTATTGATAAAGCCTAGTGTCTAGACGCAATATATTAAGTAATTACACAAGATGATAGATAAAGTAACGTCATATCGTTAAGGAATTATAACTGCAAGCTCTAAGGATCAATGATGATAACACCTTGTGGAAGTTCCATGACATTTATTTCATTCATAGATTCTGTAAACTATACTTTATTATTGTCAACTAGCAGAAGTACCCATGTAGATGGGTATCCTCAAGATAAGAATCATAAGTATACTACAGTTCATAGTTAACTCAGTCGGACTTCCGGTATGTGTAGGTGGAATGATGTTCATAGAAATCTACGTGATAGCGTTATGTTAAGGATGCACTTAGCTCCTTAACTAATTGATGACTGACAAACAGAAGGAGTTCTCGCTTAACCAACACGTGATTCATCAAGTAAATAAGTAATATCCTAGATGAGTAATATCATAGTTGTAAACTAGTTAAATATTAGAACAACAGGGATAAAATGCCTACACAATAGTTAACGTTAGTGTGCTTTATCCCATGATTAAGTGGATGAGAAATCTCCTAAGCAATAGAGTACCTCGTAGAGTACTTATATCTATTATTATGAGAAGAACTAATTGCCATATTTTTGCAGCAGCAGTATCTGCACGTATTACCATCAGAACTCAAACCAGCTCATATCATATCATAAGAACGTCATCATCATCTCATGCTGAAGGAACAAACAATGTCTAATCAAGTACTCACTGGGTCATGGACCAGGGTCCAGTAAATGAGGGTGATGACGACGAAGGCCAGGTCTGTAGCGACGTTCTGTGACTTCTGTGCCAGTCAGATGTGTATCACCAGCCATAATACCATCAGAACTCATTCACAAATCATCGCATATCATAATATCTGAACTTCATCATCCTCTTATGCTGAAGAAAAGAACAATATCTAATCAAGTACCTACACTACCTAACCTACCCACTGGGGTCATGAACCAGGGTCCAGTATAATAACATGAGGGTGATGACGAAGGCGAGGTCCGTAGTGACGTTCTGTGCCAGACAGCTACGTATTATCATCATATCATCTGGTATCTTATCATCAGAACGTCATCATCCTCTCATGCGGTCATGCTAGTCAAGTACTCACTGGGGTCATGGACCAGGGTCCAGTATATGAGGGTGATGACGAAGGCGAGGTCCGTAGCGACGTTCTGCGCCAGCCAATACGCGCGGCAAAGTAGAGGCGTGCGCGGGCGCCGCGGCATGAGCGCGTCGTCGTCTTCGCATGCTGTGGGCAGAAAAAATACCATACATTAGATAGACTACTATCATTTATCTAGAATACTTAACAACTAAGTATAGCCTAGCCTAGGTAGGCATCTAGAGACTATGTTTAAATAAAGCTTCGTGAGGTATAGAGATTTATGTGAGGACTCCTTAAAGAAATAACATGAACGACGATCCATGAACGAAACAATTTCGTCCGTATTTATTGATAATAAAAATACAATTTAATTATATTGTCCGAGATCACAGTTACTTAAAATAACATTAGGGCGCAACCCGCATAAGTTTTGGAGGATTATTAACATGTCTGTCACTGTCAAAACATCCTGTGAAATCGATATATCATAATATAAATCAATAATTGGCCGGTTTAGTTGTCATGGGAGGCAAGAATGGGGAACCAATAGGGATAATTAGAGTGGTCTGACGGCCACTGCGGTCTTAATTGACGCGAAATTGTATCAATCGACCCCGCGACCCTGTCGATGACTTGAATTGGATGCCGAATACAAATAGAATACCCGAATTGGCTGTCGATTCATTGGACACTCCACGCCAATTGAAACTAACAATTTTGTAAATATAGTAAGATTTTATAATAAAGATTCAGACAGAGATAGACAGAGATTGAACGTTCTAGTATGCTCGCCATTGCTTTAGACGGAACTATTCCCACAGTTGCAACACCTGTGTAGCCAGGATCTAAAGCTGATACTTCAGTGGATACATGATAGGTAGGTACTTGGTGTCTGTGATAATCGGGCTATATTTGTTGGAAATACCAGTTTCGATTGGCGCAGAGCGGAGAATGACTGTCTCCAAAAATTTATTTGAACGTCAGCGATGGCAATGATTTTGATAAAGTGCATTCGCTTTGAATTGAAATGATTTTATGACATTGATTGTTGAACCGCATTAATTTACAACCACAGACGATTTGCATTACCCTATTATGATGACAAGTTTTAATACTAGCAATTTATTTACAATACGAGTAGTTATCAGGATTTTATTGAACATGTTTGAGCCCACAACTTCGTAGGTGCGCATGCAATTTATTTTCGATTATTTAAGTTTTTTCGTACCAGAATTTGCAGTTGCATGACTGAAACTGACGAACAATCTACGTCATAAAGCAAAGGGCTTACAACTTTAAGGTAATCAGATGTTTGATTATTTATTGGATATTAATGTCATTTTTAGAGGCAGAACTGGTTCATTTTATGAAATAGAAAGAAATTTTTAATTTCAACGCAGTAGAAATTTTACAAAAAAAACATATTTTAATTCTATAAGTTCATTATATCGGAATGTTATCGGAGCTTGTTGCTAAGCTTCTATCAATGAGTCGTATAGATCACAAGACGGAAAATTAATGCGTTTACTTTTCCATGGAGTAAGTAAGGGAACGATTTGAAAAAACGTAATTGCTGAAACGTGTCCAGCAATGCAGGGTACACGACATTCATGTTTACGAGAACACGAGACCGCATGATTCGGTTAATTGATTCGCATGAGCCGCCTCAAGGAAACGCGCGCTAATAGGCGCACCCACGCGACGGCAGAATTGACCACTAACCGACACTACAGTTTCAGTTCTTGCCATGACGTTACCATGGCCTTGGGGGGCGTTGACCTTCGGCTTGAAATTTTTAGAGCTTTTGTGTCAATCAGCTGATGGTGATGATTTAATTACAGATATAGGTAGAGCGTTTTCAGTATATTTTGGCATTTTAAAGTAGGTACCCCCTCTTGTTCGATACTTACCAAAGCAAGAGACAATGGATATAATCATACATGTATACGTAACTACATGTATAAAACACATTTTATATTGTGCGTGGATTGGACCCGCAACGTTTAACGTGATAGCCTAGTTCTTAATAACCACACTAAATCGGACGTCTAATGACCTATTTCGCCATTAATGCCCTGTAATGTAAAAGAGTGTTGGTCTTTGTTAGAAGGTATTAAGAAGCATTTTTATACTTTCTCTGTTTTTTTTTCTGTCTGAAACGAGTAATCGCAAGATGTTGATTCTTAGAACTACTATAAAAGTAATCGTAACGATGGGAATAATCCTGGCATGTGTTTAACGCTTGTAGCTGTAACGTGAAACTGAAAACTAAACTTTGATCGGTTGTTAACCATTGCTCCTCGCTATTGACCTTGTGCGTGTCCAAACAAACATGCCCACGTCGACTCTACGTCATAATCACTTAAAAACTAATAAAAGTCCAATAGTCATCGATAGCCGCCATCACGGATGGTCATGAAATCTATTACAATCAATTGGAGTCAGCCGTTTACGGGACAATGATGATGGATTGTTTATGTTGACGATTATTGTATCACAACAATTAGAGATTTACGGCCTCGGAAATGACATTTAATATTATGAGGTATTTAGAGAACAATCCGGTTTGAAGGATTTTTCTAGGATACATCAATTGTCCTCATCTTATAAATGTATCATGTAGAGTAGAATGACCACCATACATTTTCAAAATCAAATTCAACATAGGCCTCGTATCTTTTCAGCAGGCAGATATAGTATGAGAAGCTCAGTTGACCTATAAAAACGAATCCGTAGCAACAACTGTACCAACGACGTTGACAATAGATGCTTCAAAGAATTTCCTCTGTCGTCCGGATGTATAATAAAATTTAACAACTCGCAGCAATGGACATTGTGTGCTCGTCTGAACCGAGGCGATTTTCTATTGAGCGGGATCTCGGCAAATCTTGACAGCTATTGTGTCGGAGCTGACAGGATGTCTCCATACGGCATTTGGTTAGAGACGAACAAGTCATTGACTTTTGCAGAGCACGCAATAGCCACTTATCGGTTCCAATAACGAAGACAGCCTAACCATTGCCTCACCATTTTTTAGAGCTATAGTAATAAAAGAAATTACTTGGAAAACTTGAACATTTCAATTAAGTAACAACAAAAAGTGTTTTTTTTAATATTAAAACAATGTCGATATTATAGTAACGTGTGATTTTGATTTTAATTTACAGTTTTAAGTTCGTACCGTACACACGCATAATATCCGCTTGCAATATCTGCGAATGAATGGAAGGCCCAAATCTTATGTTAACCTAGCTGTAAATAAAAGTCAAAACAATTGAAAAAGTGGGCGTGCCATGTGTAATTAGTTAGTAACTTACGATTATTGAAAGATTTCTGCGATCTATATCGGTGAACGACCGCCAACGCGAGTCCGGCCTGAAGAGCGATGAGCAGGAACCCCCAGTTGGTGAAATAGATGAACCATTTGAAGTAGTTGAGCTCCACCTTCGGGCCCTCGTACCGCGGCGGCAGTCGCTGGCACACGAAGCTGGCTATGCCCGTTGATACCACTGTTATGAACAGCAGCCATCTGAAAAATTGTGTGCATTATAGATTCAATCAAATTATAAATAGCTAAAGAATGAGAAACGAAGAAGGCAGAAAGAGATAAATGTACAAAACTAAACTTCTGTGGGTAGAGCTTTTGCTTGATTTTCACTGAAAACTTAGCCAAAAGGCTTTGATTACAAACAGGTTTTAGTTACAGCGTTTGAAACTACAGATTTAATTATTGTTTAGATTAGTATAATAAATTAATATACGCCATTTACTTTTTTTTAACCAAGCTCAATTGACTTCAAACAAATGAATAACGAAAGATTTGAGGAATTGGTCGTCGAGAAAAAAGCAACGCCGATTCTTGATGGCCAGTGTCGCGCGGCCAAGGAGGCCGCAACAGTTATGGCAACAGAATAATAATAAGTACTGGTATTATAAACTACGAGTTGTCTAGATACTCCTAAAAATAAGAAACATTCACGCATCTGTCAAAACGATCGTCTTTTATTTGACTTCACTTGTACAAGAGGTATGTCATGGAAGGCGTAAGTCTGGTCTGTTACTGGCAGCACGCGAGCTGGGGCGCGAATGATGTAGGTACTCCTGATCACGAAACATTCACGCATCGGTCAAAGTGATCGTCTTTTATTTGTCTTCACCTGTACAACAGGTATGTCGTGGAAGGCGTGAGTCCGTTCTGTCACTTGCAGCACGCGAACTGGTGCGCGATAATGTAGGTACTCATAGTTTTATTAAGAAACATTCGCGCATCTGTCAAAGCGATCGTCTTTTATTTGTCTTCACCTGTACAAGAGGTATGTCGTGGAAGGCGTGAGTCCGTTCTGCCACTGGCAGCACGCGAACTGGTGCGCGGGCGCGTGGTCCAGGTTGAGGGCGCGCCGGCTGGCCTGCCAGATGCGCCCGAGGGTGGCGGGCTTGCACGCCTTCTTCTGCATTGCTGTAACAATTAATCAATTTGAAATCCAACGACGTAGTAAAGATAGAACCTAAGTAGTTATACATTGAAAAGATGATGACAGAACTGTTCACTAGGAAAATTCTTTACTTACTTAGCCTAGTCGGCCGATAGTTGGGCCCAATTCTAATTTGTATGAAAAATCAATCGGTGTAATGTGCGCACTTCCATACATGCCCATGCTGATTAACTGCCCGACTAAACTATCGGCCGACGAAAAATCGGTGATCTGCGCCTTAAAGTTATTTTGGCCGTAAGCAATTAAGAAGATTTTTGGCTCTTAGGCGGAAAGCTCAAAGCTCACCACTCCTAAGAACCGTATCTGAAAGCTGAAAATACTTAACTAATGAGGATCATTTCGATTTTTAGCTGTGAATGCAGATTTATAGGGCTAAGAAATCCTTAATACACAGTGCAAAAATTTTTGTTCTACGACAAAAATTGACGAAGTTATGGCCAAATTACTAAAAAAGTTCACTGACCGCCCGGCGCGGGGACGATGACGTCATTATATCCGATCCGAACGCTGCCGGCGTACTGCGTGGATAGAAAATATTTTTTTCTAGCCAAATTATCAGTTTTAGAGAAAAACTTGTAATGACATTTATTCATCAGAATAAAGTAAGCTATTATGTTAATAAGGCCAAACGCAATTTATTTTGAAATTTTGAAGACTGTATTAATTACTAGAATTTAAGTTTAATGTTTTGTTTTGTTTATTTAAAGCCTATTTTGTCATTTTTAAATTGATTATTTTGTTTTAAGATACTGGGCAATTACTGTGCTTTGATGTGGGCAATTAGTGTAAGTAATGGGCAATGACTGTACTTTTTGGAGGATTTTAAATTTATTTCAATATTTTCTAAGTTACGTAAGTTTTAACTAAAAATTGTTAATATTCTGTTTAAAAGTTTATTGAGGTATAAGGAAAAAGTCATAAATGGTCGATAAATTAAAATACTTTCTTTAATTTTTCATCTCAATGTGTTTGCAATCTTAAGTGGGCAATAGCTATACGGTTTACCCTACAATTTTTTTTTTCATTTCAGTACAACTGCATTTCAGAATAAAGATTGTTTTTAAAAAAGTTTTTTAATTATTATAATTTTATTTTACACTTTTTAGTAGTATCTCAATCTCAGAGCCTTGGTTCAATTACAATACAATTTAGCACCAAAGTGCTCGAAAAGACAAATCCAGCAAACCCAAACTCGATAAGTCTCCACCGTTTCGTTTAGGAATTCCTATGGCCACCTCCTGACTCCATCATCAGGACCCTGGACATCATCTAGTACTAAAGTGCTCGAAAAGACAAATCCAACGAACCCAAATTCGATGCGATACCGCTTTTTCATTTAAAGTTCCTATGGCCACCTCATGATTCCATCATCAAGCCAGCTCAATGGTACCATAACATTGCTATGTCTTCGTACTTACATAAATATACCAAATGGCAATGCCAGATTTTGTATTTTGTATGGAAGGTGGCGTCTATTTTTTTTCGCGCGGCCATCGACCAAACTTTGTTTTTTGATTACAAAATAGTGTAAAACCAAACTTACTATGGCATGTATAAACTCAGTCTGAATTAAGTTACGAGCATTAGAAGTTTGATGATTTTCCTACTAAGATTTGCTTTTTGCGCGCAAGTTTTGTAAGAAATTGCAACAAAATATTGAGCTATTTTTTATTGCGCTGATTCTGCTCCATATTGATGTCTGGAGCCTTTAATAGATGGTATTGTTTGTTTACACATACAATGTCACTATTTTGTTGCAATTTCTTACAAAAGTTGAGCGCAAAAAGCAAATCTAGTATGTAAAATCATCAAACTTCTAATGCTCGTAACTCAGTTCAGACTGAGTTTAGAGGTATACATGTCGTAGTAAGTTTGGTTTATGACACTATTTTGTAATCAAACATATAATAAAAAAAAACTTTTTTAAAAACAAGCTTTATTTCTGAGATGCCTGTTGAACTAAAACGAAAAAAATAATTGTGTGCAAGGTTCAAATAATTTCGAAAGCTTGTATCACTCATGGAATTTATTCCTCTTTTTTTCTGTATGCGCTACAAGTTTTGTAAGAAATTGCAACAAAATATTGAGCTATTTTTTATTGCGCTGATTCTGCTCCATATTGATGTCTGGAGCCTTTAATAGATGGTATTGTTTGTTCACACATACAATGTCACTATTTTGTTGCAATTTCTTACAAAAGTTGAGCGCAAAAAGCAAATCTAGTTATGTAAAATCATCAAACTTCTAATGCTCGTAACTCAGTTCAGACTGAGTTTAGAGGTATACATGTCATAGTAAGTTTGGTTTATGACACTATTTTGTAATCAAACATATAATTAAAAAAAACTTTTTTAAAAACCAATCCAATCCTATTATGTGCATTTTGATATAAAACTACAAAACGAAACGTTTTTTAGGTGTACTTTCAATTTTAAGTTTAAAGTTTAAAGATTTGGTCCAGCCTTGTAGATCACTGCAGCCTTAGGTACTCCTACAATAAACAGTATCGAATTTGACCATCTATCAAATTCCGACTACTTATACCAAGGCAAACTATTCAGCACCTCGACATGGAGGCCATTTCAAATTTTTTGCATACTTTATGACACCAGTGTGGTTGGTCATGAGCTTAAGGTTTGACCTGAAGATGAGGTGCTATGAATATTCATAAATTATTATTAATTCATTCATCAAAACGCGCGAGGTTTTATTCATGTCAAATTATGACTTTAATGAAAATAAGTTGGTAAATGATGAGCATGATGGAATAAAAATAAACTAAATATTTGTATATGAAATGATGCTTTTTTGTCTTTATAAAATAAAATGAAAAGGTTGTTTCATCCAAAAATAAGTTTTTATAATAAAATTATTAGATAATTGAAGCGTAAACATACGCCAATCAGTTACATTTTATCGAACCTTAAAAAGGTTAAAAATATAGTGAACTCTCCTTTGATTTTTAAAGATCAATCAGTCTATGTGATTTATATTGTCCCACACTGTGATGCTTAACAACGTCGNTACTCCTAATTAAGAAACATTCGCGCATCTGTCAAAGCGATCGTCTTTTATTTGTCTTCACCTGTACAAGAGGTATGTCGTGGAAGGCGTGAGTCCGTTCTGCTTCTGTTACTGGCAGCACGCGAGCTGGGGCGCGAATAATGTAGGTACTCCTAATTAAGAAACATTCGCGCATCTGTCAAAGCGATCGTCTTTTATTTGTCTTCACCTGTACAAGAGGTATGTCGTGGAAGGCGTGAGTCCGTTCTGCCACTGGCAGCACGCAAACTGGTGCGCGGGCGCGTGGTCCAGGTTGAGGGCGCGCCGGCTGGCCTGCCAGATGCGCCCGAGGGTGGCGGGCTTGCACGCCTTCTTCTGCATCGCTGTAACAATTTATTAATTTGAAATCCAACGACATAGTAAAGATAGAACCTAGTCAGAAAGAGGACTAAGAAATAACATTGTAGTGTGCTGGGAGTGGCGAAGACTCCACAATTATTATGAGTGACCGTCGGCGATATAAGAGTGTTTTCTGTAAATACAAAACCACACATTGAGAAGATGATGACAGAACTTTTTACTAGGGAAATTCTTTATGAATTATAGTTGTTTTGGCTGTAATCTTTCATGAATACTTTTGGGTCTCGAGCGGAAAGCTCAAAGAACCACCTCTGAAAAACTTTTGGAACTTATTGACAACAAAGTTTAGGTAGCCGTAGGTGGAGATCGGTAGGCTATTTTCGCCATAGCGATAAAGTTTGCAACGGTCATGCGCCGGCGCGGGCGCGGCCGCAATCAATGGAGACATTCAGTCAATTAGAGAAGAATACGTTACATTGCTGTGATAACAGCCGCAGACGGCCCGCCACAAAGCACCCAGTGTGGAATCAATCAAAACCCGCGATAAGCAACAGAAAGTAAGATTCAATTTGCCCAGTGTCATTCGAACGACTTTGTTGACTTTGATATCGAGATACTGTTTACTTTGTGACGGGTAATCAATGTGTAGATTAAATTGTTGTGGGCGTCAGGAATGACGTTGTTTTAATTAAGTGCATAAGTACCAAGCATTTAACGAATTTAGATAATATGTGAGTTATTCAATACTATTTCGCTATCTACTACAAAGCAATATTATTTTTATTACAAAGTAGGTAGGTACATGAGTACGAGTAACAGTGATAAATTAATTTAAAATACTTATATCTGTATAAAACATCCTGTACTTATGTATGTATTGGAAACATTTCTATGATCTATGACATCGATATTATTATGCCTTACTTTCACTGTATTTTTCCTATTTTTTATGTTATTATAAAGTGTGAAATAACAGCTAACAGAACATGGGGACAGTGATCTAAGTTTAGAAGATTATGGTTTTTGCTACCAACCGATTTCTTACAAGCTCGTGTGTTGTACTCTATTTGTGCAATACAAAAATACATTCAAAAAGACTCACTGGCGTTTGTTAGATAAAGTTATTTCATCAACGAAAAATTGCATTCAGTGAAGTATTTGAGTCTCGAGTTTTCTCTGTAGCCGACAGCATTTATTGGATTCTAAGAAGTTTTATTAACAAGCTCGTTAAGTTAGCCATTGGTTTGGGATTGGCAGTCGTTGCAGGTCTTGTATGCAGACAGTTCAAGTGGCGGGACTTTAGTCAATTGACAGCGGAACACCCAGTTATTATTTTAAAAGTTTTTGTCTCGTCTGATCTGTTACTCTATAAGTATTAGTATTTTTATAGTACTTATAGGGTGTGTCATAATTCTCATTGCCTCATCATTGTAATTTGATAATTATTCTGTAATACCTACTTAATTCTGGGATCAGCATTAGGTAATTCGTAAGTAAGGCAGTTCAGTCTGTATAAAATGATAGATGAGACAGAAAGAAAGATGCTTTACCCTAAGGTAAGTAACCAGAGCCAAGTCAGCTTTCATATGGTGGTCTGTGGTGTGGATCTGAAACAGGTATTTCAGACAGCAAAGTCTGCCTCAACTTTTTAATTGACGCGAATGGCCAAGGAATACTGCACTTCGGCCTGCAGTTATACTTCGGATCAGTATCTCCAGGATCTGGCAGACAGTTCAAGTGGCGGGTCATTGGCTCATCAGGCCGTAATTGCCGGCTGAAGCTGAGCCGGCTCAACTGAGGCCACCTGCACCGTCTATTAATTAACCAGTTAACAAATGGCATAACAATTATGGCGAATGTAATAAACGATTGCCCGTAATTCTAAATTGGAGTTATCAATATTTACAAGGACGTGTAAAAATAATGCCATAATAATTACGCATATGCATTGGAAAGACGTATATGATGACGTCAATAAAGATTACATAACTTTTTTCTAGTTTGTCCAGAAACTGGTATTGTTTTTAATGTTTTCATGCTAAATTATGATGAACATTTTTATTTGAAAATGTAAAGAGGTGGGGAGTAAGAGGTTGACAATTGTGTACCTATCACTCACCTGGCCTGTACAGCAATGCTGTACAGTAACACCAACTACGAGTATTTAACCAGAAAGTTTAACGAGACTGTATTTAATTAATTTAGGAAGCTCCTGTAAAACGTGCACGCATTCATTCATTCACAGCTGCGTTCATTCACGATCGAAATAAAAGGGCGGGAAACGATCACAATCAGATAAAGATCAAGGCCGTCTAGGCATTGTGGCAAACATAATAATAAAAATGTCTGCATAAGTACATTCATTATTTAGTTGTTCAGCTGTCGCACACGGCTTATATGGCGCAAACAATTTCAGAGAAATGTGATGAGCATTTTAAATTAAATTGTTTTGGATGATATTAAATATTGGTGGGGTAAGCTTTGCTTGGTAATTGTTGATCAATGAGTTAGAGTTCGTAGCTCGTAGAGACGACGGCCGTTGGGGCAGGAAAGTTCTCGAGTGGCGACCACGGGCTGGAAGACGTAGCGTGGGCAGGCCTCCTACTAGGTGGACCGACGATCTGGTAAAGGTCGCGGGAAGAGCCTGGATGCGGGCAGCGCAGGACCGTTCATTGTGGAAAACCTTGGGGGAGTCCTTTGTCCAGCAGTGGACGTCATTTGGCTGAAACGAAGATGAAGACGAGTTAGAGTTATCTGCTGGTCTCATGTGCGTAATTACAGTTTTAAATATGAATGTCCTTTTGAACCAAATCGGTATTAGGTTAAGGCACTGATAAATTTTCAATTGTTGTATATTGCTGAATTAATACAATTTTTTTTAAAATATTAGTAATTTGTTATTGCACAAATTTCTAATACTCTAAGCCAAATATGCGTGTACCACGAGTTCACCACAATAGTGAGCGGCGGCGGGGACCGAATCCGCGTTCCCCGGATCACGAGTCGTCCAGTCCNTTTTGATATTAAATATTACGGACTAAAAAATTTTTTTTAGGCAACTAGCCTATTGTTATGTATTGCTGAATTAATACATTTTTTTAAAAATATTAGTAATTTGTTATTGCACTAATTTCTAATACTCTAAGCCAGCGGTTCCCAAACTTATTTAGTCTACTTTGAGAATAAAATATTTTTAGCGCCCCCCATTTTTGTAGTCAAGAGTCGAGCTCAGTCGGTGTCTAAGAGTCCTCCTAGTAGATGACGCCTTCCAAGCCTCTACACAACGTTCCGATTTTTTTTTCTGGGTCTCTTACCGCCCCCCTTTAAGCCTGCAGCGCCCACAAGGGGGCGTTATCGCCCACTTTGGGAAAGACTGCTCTAAGCCAAATATACGTGTACCACTAGTTCACCACAATAGTCGAGCGGCGGCGGGGACCGAATCCGCGTTCCCCGGATCACGAGTCGTCCAGTCCGACCGGGCNTCCAGTCCGACCCCTTCCCCGTTCGGCTATCGAATATTCAAATTTTTATAAAGCATCTAAATTACATGATGTGACATTATTGTACCTAGGAATCAATTAGCGAACATGACTAACAGTTTTTGTGTGGGCACTATTTTTGGGATAGCTTTTATTAATCCATTTGACAAGTGGGTCGCAGCTTTGCCATCATGTTATTCACACAGCTCGCTCTTTTTTCAATCGAAGATGAATTGCTAGCCTCTAGTCATCGCTACCTATTTAGGTTTCAATGATTCTCTGTCAATTGGTTTTAATAGAAAGTCATAAATTATGTCGTAAAATCGGTGTTAGCACGCGTTTTCACTAGCCTGACCTTCATTCATAGACAAATGAGAATGACAGGCTTCTCAGAGATTTCACGAGACCATCAGAAATCATTTGACTGATGGCTTGTCTCCAAGCACGATACAAGGCTCAATTTTTTGAAACACTGTCTCAAGTTTCTCAAATAGGTAATATTTTTTTATTAATTCTGAGAGAGCACGTATGCCGCCGCCATTATAATGATTAGTCACTGAATAAGTTTAGTTAGTTAAACGATTTTCCATTGCAATACTGACGAGCCGATTCTGTCAATGAATTTTGATCTATAGAACTGTCATTTAATTGTCAATCAATCATACTTTTTCCTTAAAAATAACAATGTGTTTGAAACTCTATTGGTGTCAGTCGTATTTTATGGTAATTAATTATGGCATAGATAAGGATTCATCACTTGTTTGCAATTTTTCGGATTTGCATGGTATGTATTTACTTATTTAGTCTATTAAACTAATACTCGTGTCTTTACATCTTTACACTATGACCTTAAGCAGGTCTATTTCTACTAGCCCTATTTTGGGAATACTACCACAGGTAGTTTGCCCCACCATGGGGTGCCCAGTAACTCACGTCAAAAAATACCCTAAGACTAAACGCACCATAACACAGTAATTTTATTAAAATTTGTATAATGTAAAATATTTAAATCAATTTAATTATAGTAATTACGGATGGGAGCAGTGTGGTGGGCCGCATGTGTAACGCGGTGTAGGTGAATATTAGCCTCGCGATTCAATGAATGGAATTAAAATATAGGCACGAAATAAATAGGTGTTCTTGTGAAGATTTTTATATGTATAACTGGGCCCTTTAATGATATTTATTTTCTATTCATAATCTATTTGGGTAAAGTAAAAATTTTTAGGGATATTTTTGTCAATGCCTACTTCAATCATGTCAAAAGTCGGAATGAAAATGATAAATCCATTACACAGGCGTAACTTTCTGCCATTGATCAAATAATTCAAAAATGTTTACTCATCGTAGGCGTAGGTATCCACCGGATTGAATTCGATTCGCTGACATTCCAACATGCCACTGTATGTTTACCAAATGGGGAGGATAAGTAAATTGTTTTTGATGTCATTCGATCCTTCAGCGCGTACACAAAACATTAAAAAAATGAGCACGTAAATGTTTCAGCTTGAAAACAATGCATTTTTCAGCTGAAAATTTCATTAATAGATGCACCTACTAAATTATGATGTTTAGAAGAGAAAAAGTAGTTAATAAATTTAATTATTTTTAGAGATATTTCAGAAGTATTTTCAATTATACAAAATAGAATTTTCTTTTTTTGTAACATAAATTCAACGTCGTATTATAATTGTATTCAATAGGCAGAAGATTGCATACTTTAGTATAACTGTTACTAACGAGATAGTGCTGAAGTTAAAGACATGTGGTCCGGATGAAATTACTTAACGCTTACTAATCTCAAAATAAAATCATCTAACTCGATGCCTTGCCAATAGAGAGGCCATAATTTTTCAGCTTTGGCAATAACTCTTGAACATGTTTAAAAACTCCACCATATTGATAACATGACGTTTGATTTAAGTATGTACCGTGAAAAATAATAATAAGTAAATCTATGACGCAAGTAGAACCGTATTAAAAGGGATAATTTTAAATCATCTACGGTCAGCCTATCTGCATGTTACGTGCGTTCGGGTAAATTAATGTTTAAGAAACAGTTACGTATCATTTGAGTTACAAACTAACGTAATATACAAAACTGTGAATAAATGGAAATTTAAGCAAGTATAAGTGAAACAAATGAATATCGGTCAAGAGCGAATCTGACTCTCATTCTATTATGAGTAGCCAAGTTGGTATAGTCAGCGTCAAATAGGTAGTTCGTGACGCCGAAAGTGGGCAAAAAGTTGACAACATTACCATAATCCATAGAAATAAAGAAATGTTGCGAACTTTTTGGCTACTTTGGGTGACAAGGACTATGTATTTGACGCTGACTGTACCATGCTGTAGCATCATTAAATTGCTTACATTACCTATGTTGTATTTTGTTTTTGCGTTTCTTGTACTCGTATGTAGGTAACTTAAGTTAGTATTTGCTCAATAAAACTTATCTTTAGAGGGCTAGCCCGTCCGGCATGCGGAATGCAAGCTGCTATGCTAGCCAGCTAAAAATAACCTTGCAGCATTTTTTCGAAACCTTAGAATAGCAGGCCGATAGCAAGCGAACTGCACAGATGGCTCTTTTAACTGTAATTTTGCATCCTTAATGCAGCTATAAATATTTAATACATTTATGGTGCAGGTCTGTGTCCCAAGTAAGTATTATTTTGTACCTGAGTTTTTTTTTTATAACGAAAAATATCATAAGATGTGTGCCTTTTGATAATCAAGATAGATTAAAAATATTTTTTTTATTTACCTAATTTACAGAAAAAATAACATGTAAACAGTTTTATTTTTAAACTAGCTTTCCGCCCGCGGCTTCGCCCGCGTGGAATTTTGTCTTTCACAGAAAAACTTTATCGCGCGCGTCCCTGTTTCAAAAACCGGGATAAAAACTATCCTATGTTCTTTCCCGGGACTCAAACTATCTTTATGCCAAATTTCATCAAAATCGGTTGCGAGGTTTAAGCGGGAAAGCGTAACAGACAGACAGACAGACAGACAGACAGACAGAGTTACTTTCGCATTTATAATATTAGTTGGGATTTATACGAGTAGAAAGGAATTAATCACTTGCCTAAATCATGTTTGAACTGGACAGACCACACATAGGGAAAAATTAGAAACTTTTTGAATTTAATTAGGTTGAACTTAAAAATCATTTTTCATAACACGTTACTGCACAATTCACTTAAGGGAACATGTTTTTACTGTCGTCTCTGCAAGCTGATAAAATTATGGTCAATTACATGCTAATTAGAAACGACTATAAAGTTCGGGTTATTTTATTACTAGAGTGTAGAGGGTTCTGTACATTTTATGCCACGTTTTTTAGCGCATGTTTTTTTAAATGTTTTATGGATTTCTTGTATACTCATATAACGCTATTTAAATAACTTCGTAAGGAATATACCTACCATATGAGTAAATCTTTAAAAAGATTTTTTGATAGGCATTTTAAACTGAAAATAAAAGAATAGTCGTTCGTTTAAATCAGACAGACAGACATAGTCTAAGGCAGGCATTATTAATATGAGGTGTTAGAATTTTCTAAAATTTTGCCCCTTACAATAATAAATTAGCCTGCATTTCCATGTATGGCATTTGACTTTTCAAAGAAATGCCAAAATTCTAAAATGAAAATCAAAATTATCTTTATTTGTGTAGACTAATTAAATTAGTAGGTACCTACTTAAAAATCGTCAAATGCTCTTCAGGTTATTCTATTAAAATAACTCAAAAATGCTTGTATACATAGATCATAAACCATGATACCTAAATAAATTAATTACATTATGTCTAAATCAGCTGTTAAGATTTATTGTATGAAGAACTAAATAATTCATGGGCTCTCTGAGATAAATTAGCATATTTGAGAATTTCTGACTAGAAGTCACCTTTCTACTTTTAATATTTAATTTATAAATTAGTTGACTAAATACTATGATATGTCATAGGCATATTTAAGATAAATAAATTGATTTTATTCAAAATGTTAACTTAAAACGTGTTGGTTTTAAAAAAATATAATCGGAAAGACTAATATAAATTATTATTGATGTTGTTCAAGGTATGGCGCAAGGATTTACTCACATAAATCAAATTTGGGGAGCTTCATCCTGAGGAGACACGGGAGCCGCAGCGTCCAGCACAGGTTCGATCGCACGAGTAGCCCGACGCATTCAAAATGCCACTAGCGCTTCGTTTTTCATCGTCGTGTTTTATAAACGAAAACAATGCGTTTGATTCGTGTTTCGCGATGTTTTTAAAAGGTGCGATGCATTCGATACGCGCGCATGTGCGGCAAAATCGGTACTCGGCCCGCGACTGGCGCAGAGGATGTATCGACGCGCCGATGTGCGGACTCCGAGCGCTGTCTCGATTAAAACTAATTCCTACGGTTAAGGCCTACGTCCACGATGTTGCGAGTCAGTCTCTAGGAAAGCTAAGTCTGTAACTATAGCTATAATATATGTCAAAGCGATAATCGCAGCGATTTGGGCACATGTTACGTGAGAAGCGACATCTGTCAGCTGATGCCAGACGCGACGGCTGGGTGGTGCATAAATTATGCAGCTTCACAGCGGTATAATTGATTTGAAGTTATGTAAGTTAACTTGCGAAGGGTATCGCATTGACGAGTACTTTGAGGTACTTACAGAACTAACAAATATTGAGAAAAGACTGATTGCGCAAAACCCCAAAATTAGGTTACATTTTCACTGAAACAATTTTGCACCTTAAAATAAAGATTTCATTCTTGCTTCATAATATTTTCATTTTTCAGCCTTTGAAAATTAAAATATTAATACATTTTTCATTTAAGTAAGCAGGTAAGTAAGAAGGAAAGATTGTATTTAATTAAGTACCTTATTATAGTATTAATTTCAGTAATTGTATGGGCACTGGAAATACCCGTAATTTTCCTCATCTCTCGTTATCAGCAACGGTATAAACCGCCTGATAACGTTCAGCCGGCCCTGAATTGCACCTATTGTAGTGGGCGAAGGGCTTTAGGTGTCAGTTCCGCGGTCCCAATCACGGGGCATCACTCGCCCTATCTTTGATATCGGAGTGACCACAATGACACTTAATATGGACAAATGTCCTGTTAATTTGGTGCGATTGGCCGCAACGGGTGTGGACGAATTTTGATTCTAATGGCCAATTTCATTAATGATGTCAAGGCCAATGGAAAAACATGTTGCGTTTCAGTCACACTAGATAGCTACGAATATACACGCACTAGCATTTAGTACATATTCATACATGTTAAATATAGATCTACAGCAAACATTTAAGCTGAGTTACCCAACACCCAACTTTGACCGTAACTTTAACGAAAACCGGTGATTTTCATATGGAGTTTGACAGATTTTTGACGTTTGTTACAGTCAAAATAAGATTGTGCAACCCAGACTTCTTCATAATTAATTATGTGTAATGTTTATCCAAAATTATAACTGACTAAGAACACATATAAGTATTTATGTTGTTCCAATCTTATTTACAGTACCTACTATAGTCCAGTCAATGAATGCTTTAACGACGGTGTAGAGAGAAATCGGTGGAACACTATTTTTGACCTCGGGACTTAATTTAGACTAGTTAGGAGGTGAACATAGCAAAAGTCCCCGCCCTTGAGTCGGCGGGGAGAGGGGGGTTTAAAGGTACTTACCCCTTTTCGGTTTTTCGCTTAATCCTAACTATGTGTCCTAGTGACATGACTACTATGAACCAAAAAAAGCTTATTCAATTTGCTACAGGTGAGATAGTCAAGTTTTTCTATATCTTGTATAGTTTTCGCGGCATCTGCTCTAGAAGGTCTGAAATATTGGAATTTTTTTTTGTGTTACATGTTCCCATCAGGAGAAAATCGACTAAATCAACATTGAGCAAACATTCTAGACATGCGGGAGCATGTCTAGAATGTTGGAATGTCACTAGGACACATAGTTAGGACTAAGCGAAAAACCGAANGCAGCGCAGGACCGTGCATTGTGGAAAGCCTTAGAGGAGGCCTTTGTCCAGCAGTGGACGTCATTTGGCTGAAACGAACGAACGACGAACGAACGAGATAGTCAAGTTTTTCTATATCTTGTATAGTTTTCGCGGCATCTGCTCTAGAAGGTCTGAAATATTGGATTTTTTTTTGTGTTACATGTTCCCATCAGGAGAAAATCGACTAAATCAACATTGAGCAAACATTCTAGACATGCGGGAGCATGTTAAGCCTAGTTTAAGGGAGGGGACTGCACCGTGCGTATATTTAGACGAACCAATTGGAGCCACTTTTGACTCCTCATCACTCAAAAACTAATGTGCATTAACACTTCGGCTCATGTGTTGAGACTTGCAAGATAAATATCAGCTTCAAATTTCATAAATATACCTCAAATGGTTAATTAGGTATTGACGTTTAAAAATAGACATTTAGAACACTAAAATTTATCTATCACCTGTGAAATGTTAAAATTTACTGGTTTTTTATTTGTTCCTTTGTATTTACACAATTACCTATCTGTATGCCAAATTTGAACCTTCAAGGCCATCTGGAAGTGGTTAGAATTTGGTCTATACGTCAGACATGTAGATTTTTGGACGTCAATACCTAAAAAAACCGTAAAAGAAAGAGGTATATTTATGAAATTTTAAGCTGATACTTATCTTGCAAGTCTTAACACATAAGCCAAATTTGAATTGTTTATGCACAGTAGTTTTTGAGTGATGAGGAGTCAAAAGTGACTCCAAGTGGTTCGTCTAAATATAGGTACGCACGGTGCAGTCCCCTCCCTGGAATTAGGCTTAACATACTCCCGCATGTCTAGAATGTTTTCTCAACTTTGCTTTAGTCGATTTTTTCCTGATGGGAACATGTAAGGCAAAAATAAAATTTCCAATATTACAGACCTTCTAGAGCAGATGCCGCGAAAACTATATAAAAATAGAAAAACTTGACTATCTCACCTGTAGCAAATTGAATAAGCTTTTTTTGGTTCATATTAGTCATGTCACTAGGACACATAGTTTCCGAGTCCCTATTAAGCGAAAAACCGAAAAGTGGTACCATTAAACCCCCCTTTCCCCGCCGGCTCAAGGGCTAAGGGCGGGGACTTTTGCTAGGTTCACCTCCTAACAGTCTCAATAAACTCCCGAAGTCAGTAATTGTGTTCCACGGATTTCCATCTATAATGCTTTATTGACTGGACTACTATGTAAACAATAATAATTATACGAAAAGGAGTGATTCTGGTACTAAAATACGATAAATTTTTTTTGGGTATCATCAACATCTCTCGAAATCTCACACTGAAAAAATATTTCCTCATACCAATAATAATTATTGTCACTTATTGTAACAGCTGATAAGTCCATTAATATAAATACAATTAATGAGTCTCGATATACAGGATAAATATAGGTATGGGTTTCATTCGTGTAAAATATATTTTATATTTTTTAAATACTTTATCATTAGGTAGGCTACTTTAGTTAAATCTCTTTTATTTTAAATTTAGAAATAGGAATATGATCTTTAAAATTTTTAAAAAGTTATCTATTATTTTATAAAAAAAATACAACGAACGTTGTCATGTTAGTTACCACAGTACACGGCTACTAGGTAAGTTTTGTGTTATTGATCGATGGAAATCTATTTCTTTCAAACTGTCCTTGACAAAACTGAATTCAGAAGTTAATACATTGAATTATATGTACTTAGTACTACTTAGGTTATATTTTAATACCGCTTAATGTAAAGTGATTTTTAAAATTTTACCTCAAACTGATAAACACAACTCAAAATATTATCATAATCTCTTTAAACTACTTAACCTGAAAGTTTATATCATTCATAAATCAATATTAAGTAGGTATTAATTAAACACTAAACTTACCGGAGTCTTCTGTGTCCATAGGTAAAATATCACGTGTCTGCACACTTCATTTCACTTCATGATTATTTAGTACGTCATACTTTAATGCACTAAAAGTTTAAGTACGTGTATACTACGAAAAAATTAAGGGTGTTACACACAAGTCTGCCGACCGACTAACACGAGGCCGCGGCAGCATGCGCTAACATGTGCGCTAGTGTATACCAGCATTACCGTCAGTGAGTAGGGTGGCCAATTCTAACGAAAAAAGTAAACAGAAAAACATTATTTATTTGACGTTTTCACACTTTTTGGATAAGAGTGATTAGTTTTAAGAAAAGAAAGTTTATTGGTTTTCTTTTTTTTTCTCAACAGTTATTACAAGAGCCAAAAAACGATTAAACAAAGAGTTAATGATAGATCGCCCGGTGCTTTGTCCTGCTGGAAGGCTCTTCTGGAAGGACTGGTCTTTTGTTCTAAACGTCCTGCCAGAAGATTATCGCAAGTCCTGCCCGCAGTACGCAATTTGTACGTGTTTGCTTGCTGGTCCTTCCAGCAGTACGGTGACCTTCAAATTTGAACTCATCCTCACCAGAAGTAGTAAACACTTGGTTAGTGTTTATTAAATAAAAAGTCATGTCGTAGAATCATTTTGTTTAACCAGTATTTTACTTTTCTTAATATATTATAAACTTGTTTATCTTCTTTCAACTTAACTAATAGGAACTATAATAAGGAACTTTAAATTAATTACTTTGGTACGTCACTTTGTATTAGAAATTACACCTATCACTTACAAATACACTACAAATTAAAAACAAAAACAAGAAATAAATTATAAATGTTTGATTAGGCTGGAATACTTCACATTCATTATAATATTATCGCCAAAATGTTGCCGACTCCACGCCCGGCGCGTCAAAATGTGTCGCGCGAGCGCGAACGCGCTGCCCCCGTGTATACTCGNGGCTGAGGCTGGTCGCCGAGGCGCCGAAGGCGCCGATGGCGGTCCAAAAAGCCGAAGCTGCGGAAGCAAGCGTGGGTGCCTGAGCCTCGTTACGCAAGGGCGGAAGGGCTGCACATCCCGCAGCGCCGGAGACGAGGAGATACCAATGCATGCTGCATGCTTAGTTTCATGCTGCATGCTCTCCATGCTTATCTACTCTATTAGATTATATATGATTTTTTTAAAGATACGAGTATGTCTGTTATAAAGTAAATTATTCTGAACAACAACATTATGAGTTGAAGTATGTTCTTAGTAACAACATTATTAATTAAAACAATATGATCAATGCATGTTATGAAGAAAAAAGATCTGAAAATAAAAATTATGAATTTTAAATGGTTCTTGGTAGTAACAGTATTGATAAAAAAATTATGATTACTAACTGTTATGAGCTCCGATGGTAGTAATAAAAATGTATGAATAAAAAAAGTATGAAAAATAAAATTATGAAGAGAGATTATTATGAACACAAATCGGTAGTAAGACAAAGAATAGG